AAACACCGTATAAAAATACCAACGGAGGAAGAACACAAGAATAAAAGGTTAATAGAATAGAAAAGAATGATCTTGAAACAAACCAATAACCAGAAATAGAAAAACAACAAAATATTAACTTTAATGTGATAACCCATCGAGCATCATGAAATCATTTAAGTCGAATGAACTTGTTGGCGCATCGGGCACAAGTTGGAAGCAATGCAAATAATTGATCACCACAAGAGATGAATCAAACACAGATGAGAAAGATGCAGGATATCCCATACACAGCTGTGTTCACCAAGAGCATCTCACCTGAGAAATACTATTAGAGAACACAGATATAATGGGACCTCCATCCTTCGGTCAGCTTCAAAACTTGTGGCACAATATTCAATGCTTCAACCGCAATCACTGCTGGATTGCGCAACTCAACAAAGTCAAACTCGTCATCATTCGTGATAACACGATAGTCATCAAGGCCAAGTTTATCACCGGAAATGGTGGTAGTGGTTGTGGTGTCGGGTATCTGCAGGATGAACTCATCCTCCTTCTTCATAAAAGTATCGTTAAATGGGATTGAAATCATCGATTCCATAGAGATACTCTGTGGCACGTCACTGATGATGTCCAGTGAGAATCTGTCCTTCGATAGAGGCGTGGCCTGTGGAGATATAAACGCTGGGGAGCCATTCTCAGAAGGCTCGCTAATGGAGTCCTGTCTTGAAGGGCTCAACTGAGGCACAACATCCTGTTCGTATTCTGATTTCACAGCTTCTGACGACACAGTGTGTGACTCAGGGGTATTTGGGAGGTTGGCCGCCGTATCGGTCTCCATGTCAACATCGTTAGAGCACTGATATTCACCAACGTTCTCAATGTCATGGGCATGCTGGCGCTTGGACTCCTTCAAATCAGGCAACGCGGCAATTTTCTTCAACAACTCATCAACGGTGGAATTACCGCCAGTGTAATTCCCCAGCAACTCCTCGTTCAACAACTTCACCAGGTGCATCTGCTTCTCCAGATCAACAACATACGACTCCAAAAACTCCACATGTCTTCTCTTCTTCTCTCTCGAAGCATGTGCAGCCTTTCTGTTTCTGAGAATACGCTCGATACGGCGCTGCTCCTTCTCTTCCTTGGTCTTTGCCCTTTTACGTGG